AGTATCATCATCATCAGCATCATCATCATCATCCTTCATCCTCATCCTCATCCTCATCAACCGCAACAGCGTCATAAACAGCATCAGCATCATCATCAGCAGCGTCCGGCCAGGTCGAGCAAGCGGGTTGCTGAAGCGTGTGTCCTGCATGAATCGCGAGGAGGTCTCAAGCGATAGCGCGACCCCTTAATGAATCGTGAGGAAGTCCACAGCGAGAGCGTGATTCCTGAGTGTCGACTGCGCGGCGTCTGAATAAATGGCGAGGACGTCCAACGCGAAAGCGCCATTCCTGTATAATTGTGAAGAAATCCCGCTCGAGAGCGCGATGTGGGAATACATTGTGAGGAAGTTTCAGGCGGTAGCCGTTGTTGTTGCTGCTGCTGCTGTCGTTGATGTTGATGCTGTTGTTGTTGATGTTGTTATTGCTGTTGTTGGTAGTGGTGTTGGTGTTGCTGCTGTTGCTGGCGGTGCCACTGTTTGTTGTTGATGATGTTGATGTCGTTATTGTTGTTAGTTTGGTGTTGTTGCTGCTGTTGTTGATGTTGTAAACTGGGGGCACGGGGCACAGTTTGGTAACACCCCGCTTCCCCTTGTAAAAAATAAGAGTCGCCAATTTGCTTCCAAGAGCGTCCAAGACAACCGAAAAGACTCCCAACAGAGCTCGGGGCACTCTGGACGCGAACCGGCCCGTCGAACACCCCTGGTCGGCTCCTTGGGCGCTCCGAGTGCCATCCCTCCTAGATATCGGCGATCGAACGCCTCTGAAAAGAGACGCGTCCAGAACCGCGAACGGTCGTTTCGCTCAAGACCAGTCCTACAATCTGGCTGCGAACGGGCCCGTGGAACACCCCTGGTCGGCCCCTCCTCGGGCGTTCCAGATGTCATCCTTGCTGCGCCGTGGTGGCTATCGGATGATAAGCCTTTGGCGAAAAGCAAAAGCAACCAGCAACAAAAAACCAAACCAAAAACGCGTCCAGAGCCGAGAAAGAGCGCTTCGCTCGAGACATCCCCACAATCTGGCCGCGAACAGACCCGTGGAACCACCCTGGTCGGCTCCCCCTTGTGCCTGCAAAGTACCATCGCTGCCACGTCGTGGTGATTATAGGCTTCCGGAAAAAACGCGTCCAGAGCCGTGAACGGGCGTTTCTCTCAAAACATCCCCACCATCTGGCCACGAAACGGGCTCCTGGAACACGCCGGGTAGGCTCTCCCTCGTTAAGTCGAAACGCCACGCCTGCCACATCGCGGTGATAGTAAACTCGGCGGCGAGCGAGCGGTGGAAATGAGAAGGAGAGGGCCCTCTCAAAGGCGGCGGGCTTCTCAGGAGCCCTCCGGCCTAGGTGTTCGGCGTATCCGTGGAAAGCTTAGAAGACTTGCCAGGATGCCTGGGGACGTCCGAGCCTTCTGAGAAGGCCCGCCCCATATGCTCACTTCCACCCCTCGCTCGCCGCCGATAAGCCTCTGAAACGAGACGCGCCCAGAGCCGCGAGCGGGCGATGCGCGGAGGACGTCCCCACCACCTGGGCGCGAGCGGGCCCGTGGAGCACGCCTGGCCGACTCCCCTCCGGTGGCTCGGAAGTGCTGCGGCCACGGCCGGACACAGGACGTGAGCACATCCTTCAAGAGCATGGGAGCCTCCGCCGGCCAAAACAACACGGACCATGAGGTCACTCGATGGCACCCTCCCCGAGGATGCACAAGAGCATCCAACAAACAAGAAGACATCAGGGTACCCTGCCCGCGCCGACCTCGATCCGACCGTATGAGTGACCACCGCAGGACGAGGAGGGCGGGGTACAGCAGACACATTCGATGAGATCTCTTGCTACCAGAAATCTTGGGGCACGTTCTTCTTCGATCTTTGAGGGTCCGAAGTTGCCCAGGGCCTTATGTCGTGTGTGGGTCCCTCAGTCCCTGGGGCAACTGGGGGCTGACTATCGTTGCGCCCCACCGTTGCTTTCGTTGCCCCTGGCCCTCCGCCCTACCTGCCCCTCTGTCTCCGCCCCTGCCTCTCCATCGCGGCCTACCCGATCTTGCCCCTCTGTGGGCGGCCCGTCCCCCCTCTCAGGGCGGCCCGCCTTCTCCCGGCTGGCCTGCATGGCCAGGCTTTCCGCGCCCCGCCGGGCGTCCTGGGAGGCCGTCGACCCGCCAGGAGTCCTCCTCCTCTCCCGTCCCACCCCCATCCACCTCCTCCTCCTCCTCGTCCTCCTCCTCCTCCTCAGCCTCCTCCTCCGTCTCCTCCGCCTCCTCCGCCTCCTCCGCCTCCTCCGCCTCCTCCTCCTCCTGCTCCTCCTTCTCCTCCTCCTCCTCCTCCTCCTCCTCCTCCTCCTCCTCCTCCCCCTCCTCCTGCCCCAGTTGCCGCATGCCTGCCCATGGTATGTACGCATGCCTGCCCATGTTATGTACGCGTTTGTGTACAATATAAGATTGCATGTGTTTCTGTATATATACATATACATATATATATATATATATAACACATATGTTTCTGTATATATATATATATACGACCATTAAAACATACAAACGTACCAAGTTGCTGAGGGTGGACCTGATGCGAGGCCGCAGCGACCGGCGGCAATTTGGCGCGGCGACATGGGGGGCCAGTGCACAAGAGAAAGCCACGCGCGAGATAGCTGGAGCCAGATTGTTAATGCTGCACGGACCCCCCCCAACCCAAGGCCTTCCCAGATATCCCAAGGGGTCGGCGGTGTGGCGTAAGCCCATGAATATTCCTGGTAGCGCTCTTATTATTATTTTTGGTATTCTGAGCAATGTGAATGTTAGTGTTCTTTTTCCTCCTCCTCCTCCTCCTCCTCCTCCTCCTCCTCCTCCTCCTCCTCCTCCTCTTCCTCCTGCCCCAGTTGCCGATCGCTGTCGCCCGCCTGCCCCGCTTCGCTCTCTGAAGCATCGATGGGGCCACCCTGATGTCAGCCGTAGACAACATATGCAGTTATCAATTGGAACGCGGCTCCTGCTCAGCCAGCACTTTTTGATGCTGACCTGCCTCGAGGTGGGCGCGTGCGCTTTGAAGGAACACCCCATAGTGGCCCACTGGGTGGAGAGGGCCCCCAGCTCATGGCAGAGTGCTACTTCGCATACCATGAGCGCGTCCCCTCCATCCAGGACTGTGTCGTTCGACCAGTGCATGTGTTGGCCAGCCAGTGACCCCCACACCGTTTCTGTGTATTCGGTTGGACTCTGTTGTCGAGGAAAAACAGGGCCTTGGCAGAGGGGGTAGATGTAATCATCCCAAGAAGTCCCACACCACCCTGCTTGGCATTGACCCCGGCACTGGAAAATAGAGGACGGCTCCCAAGAAAAGGTACCCTCGGGACCCCTGTGCAGCCATGGGTCGTGCAGCGTCTGTATTTGTGAATGAAGCATCTTGGCTATGCGAAGCTCATGCGTTGGACCCGAGTGATCTTCCCGAAGGCCTGAGCAAGTTTTTGTCAGGCTCTTGACCCCATATGGTGCTGCAGAACCCGAGACTGGCATTGCCCTGGACCTTGCTGGTTTCAAGATTAGGGGGCCCAAACAGACCAAAAATTGATCGCCCTCCCGCCCCATCCGCGCCAGAAGAATCTGGGACTGAGTCTGGGTGCGAGGCCCTCTCTGAAGCCCGAGCCTTGGCCCGAAGAGGCCGATCCGTGGTCCGAGAAGCCGGACCCTTGGGAGGGATATGCTTAGGTCTCTGGAGGCGTCCGGGGATCCCTGGGCTCCCCACCCCCGTCCTCCTCCCCCTCCTCCTCCACAATTACTCAATATGAAAATACTCTCCCTCTTCCCCTGATGGCGTCCGGGTGATGGCCGCGCACCCTCCGCGTACTATTTTTTTACACACAGGATTCCCGGGAAATCCCGGGAAACGACTCTCGCTGAGGCGCCGGCGTCATTTTTTCCCAAAATGCTGCTCTCGTTGAGGCGCCGGCCTCATTTCTGCTCCCGAATCGTTCCGAATCGTGCTCCCGCTGCAGCGTGGGCCTCATTTTCGGATCGGTGTTTGGCCTCCGTCGTTCAGGATGGCGTTCTCGCCCCAGCGCGGGCCTTTTCTCGCGCGCCCATCCGCCCGCCACCACCGCGCCGCACCACCACCACCACCACCACCACCACCACCACCACCACCACCACCACCACCACCACCACCAACCACAACCACCACCAGCACCACCACCCACCACCAGCACCACCACCACCACCACACCACCACCACCACCACCACCACCACCACCACAACCACGCACACACGCACGCACGCACGCACGTGCACCACCACCCACTACGCACGCGCGCGCGGAGCCACAGGTCCGCTACGACACGCGTCCGCGGATAGAGAAAATCAGCGCCATGGTAAGGGATGGGAGGGAGGGGTAGGACGTCAGATATGACGCGAGCGCACCTAGCTTGTCCTCCTCCCCCTCCTCCTCCTCCCCCTCCTCCTCCCTCCCCTCCTCCTCCTCCTCCTCCTTCCCTCCTCCTCCTCCTCCTCCTCCTCCTCCTCCTCCTCCTCCTCCTCCCCCATCCTCCTCCTCCTCCTCCTCCTCCTCCTCCTCCTCCTCCTCCTCCTCCTCCTCCTCCTCCTCCTCCTCCCCCTCCCCCAACCCGAGTGGAGCTCACCGCCGAGCTGCGGCAGGCCATCGCCAGCTGCCGTGAGCAGGCGAGGCATCGGCGGGGCCTTCGCCGTGCTCTTCTGACAGGAGGCCTTTTCTCTAATGCACACGACGCGTGCAGTGAGGTGGTAAATGTGATGAGGCGATTTGGGTGTCCTGTGTCCTTTTTAGTTCACAGCGGCTGCCCATGAGCCCTCATTGTCCAGAATGTCCAGGATGTCCTCCTCCTCCTCCTTCTCCTCCTCCTCCTCCTCCTCTTCCTCCTCCTCCTCCTCCGCCTCCTCCTCCGCCTCCTCCTCCTCCTCCTCCGCCTCCTCCTCCTCCTCCCCATCATCACCATAATCATCATAATCATCATCAGCAGCAGCATCATCAGCAGCATGACCATCATAATCATCGTCATCATCATTATCATCAGCAGCAGCAGCATTATCACCACTATCATCATCATCAGCAGCAGCATCATCATCAGCAGCATCAGCATCACCATCAGCATCAGCAGCACACTCACCATTCTCAGCATCATCATCATGGTCATCATCATCATCATCATCATCATCATCATCATCATCATCATCATCATCATCATCATCATCATCATCAGCATCAGCATCAGCATCATCATCATCGTCATGGGCAGCATCAGCATCTCATCTTCATCATCATGGTCATCATCAGCATTATCACCATCAGCACCACCACCACCACCATCAGTGTGGTCATCACCCTCATCATCATCACCACCAGTATCGTCAAAATCATCACCCTCCTCATCAGCATCATCAGCATCGGCATCGGCATCGGCATCAGCATCATCAGCATCGGCAGCACCATAACCATCATCAGTATCCTCCTCCTCATCTTCATCATCAGCATCATCACCATAATCACCATAATGAACATCACCATCATCGTCATCATCATCATCATCATCATCATCATCATCATCATCATCATCATCATCATCATCAGCATCATCATCATCAACACCATCAGCATCATCATCATCATCATCATCATCATCATCATCAGCAGCAGCGTCATCCGCCCTCGTCCTCCTCCTCCTCCTCCTCCTCCTCCTCCTCCTCCTCCCCCATCGGTCCTCCAGCTGGCGCTCCAGCTCCATCCTCTCGGCGAGCCACTGCCTCTTCGCGACCTTCGCTTCCCGCGCGCGCCGGGGCCTCTCCTCGGACGCGGACCCTCGGCGCGGCCCTGGCGCGGCCGCCCGGGGCGCTGGGGCTCGCCTCTGCCCGCCCCGCACTCGGCAGCAGGCGCCGAGGCCGAAGGCGAGGGGCAGCGAGTTGGGCGGCGCGCACAGCCTGTGCGCGCCGCCCAGATCGCTGCCGTGGGAGGTCGTCAGCTACAGTGGAGACCCATGCCAAGAAGCACCCTGCTTGCCTCCAGGGTGCCCTTGGTTTCTGGGGGTTGGATGGTTTGCGATGGCAAGCGTGACGTTCCCACCCCCCAAAAATTCTCCATCCCCCCAACCTAAGGGATCTCCAGGGGGCCGCTGAGTTCCCAAGGCCTCGGTCACCAAGGTCATAAGGAGAGACATCACCCCTGCGGCTCTTTAGCCTGTGCCAAAGGGCCGTGCGACAGGGACGCACAGCAAGGCGTGAACCGTCCAGGCAAGAGAGCAGTGCGGATGCTGCGGATTACCCTGCAGCGTCGACGCCAGAGGAAGAACGAACAAGACAGGGCCTCCACTCGAGGATAAGCCAGTATGTCCAAAAAGGAGAAGAGGGAACACAGAAAGAGGAGACAACGGAGGGCGGGCGAGAAAGCGAAAACAAGGGGGGGAGAAAAAACAGACCAGAAAGGTACAACACGTATTGGATGCACGCATTCTCCAGTATAACCTACTGAAGCTGAAGGCGGGCATTGCGGCGCCCGGCACACGAGACGCTGCTCTGCATCGGCAGACGGGCGCGAGCCTGGACGGCTAAAGCGGCCCAGGGTCGGCCAGCCGCGGCTGCAAAGAACACTGCGCAAGGCCCGTGCAAACAGTGGCGCTGGGGCCACCAATTCGGAGAAGGAGGAAGGGGGAAGAGGGAGGGAAGGATGGCGGTTCAAATCCGACGGAATCGTCGACCTGACGTCGGAACGCGTAACTGCGACTGTGATTCACCATCGGGCGCTGTGGAAACATGCGGGCCACGCGACGGACATCCGGCCACAGGTTGTCTATCGGGTCGAGGGCTGCAGAGCAGAAGGTGACCGCAGAGAACAAGCGCCGCGGGGAGGGGGTACGATTTGTCCGCCCTGCGCGCAACAAAGTGGAAGCCGCTTCGAGCAGAGGCACGTGCCAATTGCCGAAGCGAGGCACGCCGAAGTGTTACTCTTGAGACCGGGGTTTCGCATCGCAGGCGTGGCCACCCGATACAAAACGCAACGCCACACAGCATAGAAGCCCAGTCTGTATGAGAACGCTGCCCCAGCAGCGTACTGCCAAAGAGAAGAGGAGGCGAAGGAGGAGGAGGGGAGAAAACCTGAACACTCAGAGCGACGCCGCCTGCCGCGCCTGAGTCCAGAAGAGCGCCGAAGCTCGCCGGATGAGACCCCCGCCGAGCTGCCACCTGCCGTGCAGCACCGCGCCACGTCATTGACCCCCAGATAGCACAGCCGCCCGCCGCACCTGCGGCCGAGTCCTAGCAGGAACCTGTCGGTGAACAAAAGAAAGGGCGAATCAGGACGAGGCGAAACGACCCCCCACCGCCCAGAGCAGCCCCCCCCATGGACACCCTCCAGGGGTGCGGTATTCGAGGCCCTCTCTGTCCTGAGGCTGCGTGAGCGGCCGCGGCAGCAGCATCGCGAGCTGCTGGGGTGGGCTGCTGGTGCTGCTGATCCCACGCGTCGTCACAATGCCGATGCACCTGTGGGAGATGGCAGTAGCCGTCGACGAAGTAGTAGTCATGTCCTGGCGCTGCAGCACGTGGTGCTCACGCTGCTGCTTCTCAAGGTGGCACTCCCAGTCGTGGCCCATGCGGGCGGTACTCTGGGGGATGCCAGCCCATCCTCGCCTGGCGGTGGCACTCGAGGCGATGATGACGATGATGCGCTCGTGGTGGATGTGCTCGTCGTGGGCGTTCTGATCCTTGTCATCTTGATGGTCGTGGACGTCGTGATCGCCTTGCTCATCATCGACATCGTGGATGTCGTGGCTGGCGTGGGTGCCGAGGGAGCCGTGGGCGTCTTGGTCGTGGGTATCGAGGCTTTCGCGGGCGTCGCAGTTGTCGTGCTGGATGTCACTGTTGTGCTGCTCACTGTCAACGTTGAGCGTGATGAGCTGCCCCGCAAACGTCTGCGCAAAAGTCGGCATTCCCCCAAGCGTCGATGTGGCGGTCCCTGTCGTGCATCTCGGTATCGTCGTGTCGTGACGGATGTTTTGGTCCACGTAGGTGTCGTGGGGGATGTCGTTGCAGCCATCGTAGCCCGCTTGGGCATCTTGGGCAGCACTGGTCTCGACGTCGTGGCCGTCGTCATTTTCGTCGTCGTCTCAAGGTCGTGCCGGATGTGGAGGCAGACCAGGTCCACCGCCGACGCAAGTGTCGCATGAGGCAGACTGTCAACAGGATGTCCTGCGAACGTGGCCGAAATTCTGGGCAATGATCCCAGGCTCGGCCACGAACGATGCTGCCGGCGGCGGCCCGGGCTGACATCCTCTATGCTGGCGCAGCCGCCATGAACGTCACATGCGTCGTGAATGCCGCCCAGTTGTGGATGTCGGAGGCGTGACGTGGTCGTCGTGGGCGTCGTGGATGCCGCATTCGTAGCCCTGGTCGTCGATCTGGGCGTCTTGGCCAGCGTCGCTCTCCACGTCCTCTTGACCATCGTTGATCTCCATGCCGTCCTGTAGGTAAGCGTGCGCCTTGCTCAACTCAGTGTCGGAAGCCGTCAGCGCCCGACCGGGGGAAGTGGACGTGTGCGAGGGCAAAGGCTGGAGGTCGAGCTGGCCGTGGTGGTGGCTGCTGTAGCTGTAATGGACCGCCGTTCGAGTGACAGGCGGCTCGCGCTGGCGGCCACTCAGGCAGCAGGAGGCAGCAGTGGAGGAGCGCCGATGCAGCACCCCCTAGGGCGCAGTCACTCCTGCAACCGCTGGTGCCGGCATTGGGGAAGACGTTGATGCTGGTGTCGATGCTGGTTTCGCCGCCGTCGTGGGCGCAAGCTTAATGCTGGCGTCAGTGCTGGCGCAAATGCTGGATCTGACGCTGCTGCCGGTTGGTGCTGGCGTAGGCGCCAGCATCAGTGCCGGTGACCGCGCTGGCGTCGCCACTGCTGTACTGCGCAGGCGTCGGTGCCGGCGTAGTCGCTGGCGTCGGAGCTGGCGCAGGCGCAGAACTTCGTGCTGGCGTCGGTGCTAAAGTCCGTGTTGGTTGACGCGCTGGCGCTGGGGGCAGCGAGGCGCTGGCGTTCGTGCGGACGTCGGCGTCAGCGCAGGTGGGCGCTCGTGTAGGCGCTGGTGTCTGCGCTGGCGGTGGCGCTGGCGAGTGCGCAGGCGTTGATGCTGAAGACGGTGCTGGCGTTGGAGCCGGCGTAGGATCAGCGGTGCTGGCGCAGATATCGGCGTCGGTGCCAGCGGTGGTGCTGGCATCGGTGCTGCCGTTGCTGCTGGCGTCGATGCTGGTCTCGGTGATGGCGTATGCCCAAACGCCAGTGCTTGCATATGCGCCGGCGCTGGAGCTGGCGTCAGTGCTGGCGTCGGCGCTGGTGTACTGCGCTGGCGTTGGTGCTGGCACACTTGCCGACGTCGATGCTGGCGTCGGTGCTGGCGTAGGCGCAACCTTTGGTGCAACCGTTGGTGCTGGCATCTGAGCTGACATCGGTGCTGGTGTAGGCGTTGGCGCTGGCGCCAGCGCATGGCGTTGATGACACTGCTGGCGTCAGCGCTGGTGTAGGCGCGACGGGACTACACGCCGTTGCCCGCCAGCCGCCTTCGACAAGGCTGCCTGGCACCTGTGGCCACCGCAGCAACGACGAGCAGTACGACGGCCACCATCAGCACGACGGTTCCCTTGCAGCACGACAGCCACTGATGCCTCCGCGAGCACCAACGCCAGCAACGCGACGGAATCATGCAATGCGACGGCCACCATCAGTGTGACGGCCTCCAACAGAATGTCGACGAGCAATACGACGGCCACAACGCCTGCGCCGACGCCAGCATCAACGCCGGCGCCGACGACAGCTATAGCGCCAGCATGCAATGACGCCAACGGCACGCCTACGCCTTCGTTGCCACCACGCCACTCCCAGCACCGACGCCAGCTTGCCGATGCTTCGCGCCTACACCAGCGCTGACGCCAGCAGCGTCATCAACGCCATGCGCTGACGTTCCCACACCAAAAATCAATGAACGTCTGGGGGTCTCAGGGTTGGGTTTCTTGTGGAAGGTTTCTTGTGGTCGAGCTCCTACGGAGCACGCAAGAGTGACCCCAGCCAAGAGTGGCCTTTGGTGCGCGGCTTTCGGCTTTCGGAGAGGCGCCGGGGGAGCCAAACCCAAGCGCGCAGGCCGCTGCTATCGGATCGCATTCCGCCACACGGAGACCCCAATGTGCCTGCACCAAAGGTCACGCTGGCGAAAGGTCACTCTTACGTGAGGTCGAGAAGCTTCTGAGAAGGAGGCCGCTTCTCAGAAGGCGCTGGCCTTCCATCTGTAGATAGGGCCCGCGCCCTCCAAGAAGCAGAGGTGCTTCTAAAAAACCCTACCCCCTCCCCATACTTCTGCACCGGTGCCGAGGCCGAGGCCGACGACGACAACGACGACGACGACGAGCAGGACGGATTCCTGTCTCCAGGTCGGACGAAAGGGGGAGGAGGCAGGAAGGCGGGGGAAAAGACAGGAGAGCCAACACTCATACTTTTGGCCAGATTTTGCTGGCACTGCGGGGCGCTGGAGGCGCACACGCATCAAAGGGAGAGAGCCCAGCGGCAGGGCCGAGGCCATCTGCGGAGGAGCAGACGCTGCCATCCAAAGCACGCGGCGCACCCCCCCGAGGGGCAACAGAAGGGGGGGACTGGCTCAGGGGAAGAGATCGAGCTCGAATCGGCGGCACGTCGCCGATAGATCGGCGATAGGCCCCCGATAGCGACCTCGCACGGTCCTGGGCGGGTGGGCCATCGGGTCCCTCTCGTCCATGAGTGGACGACTGAGGGTCGATGCATCACCCGGATCCTGTCCCCCCTCTGATCGCCCCTGACCGAAACTCTGCACCAACGCCGGGGCCGAAGGGCCGCTCTTCGTGCCGCCAGGGACCATCGATGCGAGGCGGAGAGTTGTCCACAAGCACCGCCTGTGGGTTGGTCTTCGGTGACCTCGGCAGGCGGTGGACATGGACACTGTCCGGAACTGTTGCCCGCCGTGTCGCGGCGGCGGGCCCGTTGACACGCGTTGCCCCGTGAGCAGACAGCGGGTCGCTCCACTCCGAGGGGAAGGAGCCCAGGACGTTGATGCGTGTGGACTGGGACGTGGTTAGCGCGTCGCGCCAAAGCACGGTGTGCCAAAAACCAGCGGCGCGACACAGTGAGCCAAGCTTCCTTCGGCGGTGAGCGAGGGGGGGAAGTGAGAAGAAGAAGGCCTTCTCGGGCGGCGGGACACCTCAAAGCCCTCCGGCCTTCCGATACATGTTCGGTGTCTTCGGGGAAGGCTTAGAAAACTTCTCAGAAGGCTGGGGACTTCCGAGCCTTCTGAGAAGGCCCGCCCCTTCTCACTCCAACCGCGTGCTCGCCGCCGATTCCTGATCGCAGCATGCCCGTCCTCGCAGCGCTCTGGGGCCAGGTCGGAAAGCTTCGCGCGGTGCCCCATAGAGACAGGAGGCACTGCACACTCGGGAGCGCAAGGCGTAAAGGGAAAGGGGGGGAGGAGACGCAGCTCCGCGCGGGTCACTTGGACCTGCGCTGTGTTGGCGCACAGTGTGCACTTAGAGCGCGCCATGGGCTGCGCCGGAGGCGCCGCCAGCGGGGCCCAGCGCCGATCCAAGAATCCCCGCGGAGCCCTGAAAGTTTATGTCACATTCCTAAACATATATACAAATCCATATGTGTGTACCTATACGCTTCGAGTCAAAGAAGCATGTACTGAAGGACGCCGACGGAAACTCCATCTGGCGCGAGGTGGGGAGCGACGCCGTACCCAAACTTCCACCACACCCGCCACAGGCTCCAACGGCACCGGGAAGCCGAGGAGGGAGGAGCAGGAGGAGGATAGGGAGACAAAAAGTGGCATAAACATAAAAACTCGGAGGTCCGCGCGGATTTCTCGGATCGGCGCTGGGGCCTCCCGGCGGCGCCTCCGGCGCCGCCCCTGGCGCGCTCCGCGCGCCAGGGAGGGGGGTCCAGCGCCGATCCGAGAAATCCGCGGGACCTCCGAGTTGTTATGTTTATGCCACTTTTTGTTCCCCTAGAGGAGGAGGAGGCAGAAGAGCAACGCTCTTCGATGGTGTTGCTCCTCTCTGGGCCCCCGGAAGCCTGCCAGGGCATCCAGGGACACCCTCTGGCCCACGCAGCCCGCGGCAGCAAATAAAATGCCACACTGACTTCTGTTGCTTCGAACGATCCCCACCCACGAACGCGAGGCGGGACATCCAGACAGCACCGGGTCATTCAGGGCCTGACGGCCGCGGCACGCAGTCGTCACTCGTCGAAGGCACGAAACGGGACACCGGGGGAGCAACGGCACACTTGGGCGCCTGGCGGCTGCGGTATGCCAGGGGGGTGTAAAGCGCATCGGGAGCTCTCTGCAATAAACCTGACAGCCCCAGCCTGTGGGGTAGGGAACAAAAGACTCCAGCAGCTCCACACAAGAACTCCCACAGACTCCTCATCCCCTCTCCCATGTTCCCGGCTCCCCTGGTCGGCTACAGCCGGACCGAGAACGCCAGAAGAACATCCTTCAAGAACACGGGACCCTCCGCCGGCCAAAGCAGGCAGGGCATCCAAGGATACGTACCCTCCCCAGGATGCTCAAGGACATCCAACAGACACGAAGAACACGAGGGTACCCTCCCGAACCGACCTCGATCTCTTACACCTCGGTCCGACTGTACAAGCAGGAGCGGCAGCCCCGAGCAAGGGTGACCTCTGGCGTACTGCTCCAGGGAGCTGCGGGGCCGCCACGTCCAAGCGCGCGCCGGCCCGTGCTTGGGGGGGGAACGCCCCCGTGGACCCGCGCACCCACGGGCCACGCCAGCGGAGGACCCGCCTCGCTCACAACCGACAGCAAACGAAACAAAGCAAGCAGGCCCCCCCCCCCCAAAAAAAAAAATAGTAGGAAAAACAAGAAAAACAATCGCGGGGAAATCAGAACAAGCAAACACCCAAAAACACACCATCTGGGCGCGAGCGGGCCCGTGGGGCACGCCTGGCCGACACCCCTTGGGTGGCTCAGAGAAACGCTGCGAGTACGGTCGGACCCAGGCCAGGAGAGAATCCCTGAAGAATCTGAGACCCTGCGCCGGCCACAGCGAACAGAGCATCCAACGGTTATTACCCTCCCCAGGGTGGATGCACAAAAACATCAAACAAGCATAAAGAACATTAGGGTACCCTCCCCGAACCGACCTCGATCTTATACCTCGGTAAGAAAATTACACTGTCACCGTTATTTCTTCTTCGACCCTCAGGGCTGGCGCAGAGAGGCCGCGTCGCCTCCAGCGAGTCGTTCTGCCTCGTCCGCTCGGAGTCCTCGCGCGGACGCTCGCGAGGCGCCCCTGCCTTCCCGCGGCGCCCGACGGGCTGCGGCAGGGGGTAACGCCTCGACTCGAGGAACACAAGGGGGATAAATAACACTGTCGGCGCTCCGCGCGGATTCCCTGGATCGGCGGTAGACCCCCTTGGCTGCGCCTCAGG